GTCACTGGGACAGGAAATGCAGGCAATCTCACCTTGATGGGGACATGGGTGCAAAATCCTGAAAAAGGATGTAACCCCCTCCTAAAGGAGAGGTCAGGGGCCACTGCAAAAAAAAAAACGCACAACAGCACCTAAACATCAGTTCAGCAGCCGCAGTGTACAGGAACCCCGGAATGCAGTGTACAGGAGCCCGGAACGCAGTGTACAGGAGCCCGGAACGCAGGGGGCGGAACCGGAACGAGGCGGACGGCTACAACTGATTTGTTATATCCCGCGTCCTCTGCCCTGCCGGATGGCGGTTTGTATAGATGGGGCAGCTCAGAGGTGGGCCGGATTCTGTGCTGCAACCTATAGGCATACCTGGTCTGTGCAGGGAGTGCGCCCCCCCCCAGGCACAGTGACCACACTGTCACCAGCAGCTCCCAGCCACACGGAGGACGGGGAGGTGGCAGGACAGGCTCCCGATCGAATGAACAGCCAATCACAGCGATTCCAATCATGGGTGTCTCATTCGTGGGAGGGGGGGGGGGGTGCAAAAACTTGCAAAGCAGGAATTTGAGTTCTCCTCGTCCAATCCTGGGCAGAGCTCTGCTTCTGGGTTCAAGGACTCCGCCATTGGTGGGCACAGCTGCTTAAAGGGTACACCCCCAAAGTGTGCGTGTGTGTGCGTGTATACACACATTATATATATACATACACACGCCTGCTGTTAGAAATCACAGCCCCCCCCCCCTCACCCCCTCCAAATACGTCAAAGTATATTTTAAAAATACACTAAAATGATGATTAATGGACAAAAAACACGAGAAACTTCCAGCTGAATCTGTCAGATAAAACCGTATTGCGTTAATAAAGGTGTGTGTGTGTGGGGGGGGGGGGGTCGAGGCATTGGGGCTCATTCACATGGGCGCTGTGGTCTGTGTGTGTGTGGGGGGGGGGGGGGTCGAGGCATTGGGGCTCATTCACATGGGCGCTGTGGTCTGTGTGTGGGGGGGGGGGTCGAGGCATTGGGGGCTCATTCACATGGGCGCTGTGGTCTGTGTGGGGGGGGGTCGAGGCATTGGGGCTCATTCACATGGGCGCTGTGGTCTGTGTGGGGGGGGTCGAGGCATTGGGGCTTTCACATGGGCGCTGTGGTGTGTGTGTGTGTGTGGGGGGGGGGGTCGAGGCATTGGGGCTCATTCACATGGGCGCTGTGGTCTGTGTGGGGGGGGGAGGTCGAGGCATTGGGGCTCATTCACATGGGCGCTGTGGTCTGGGACTCTGGGGTCTGGCTGAAGCTGGGTGGGGGGAGGGGGGGGGGGGGTCGAGGCCTTGTGGCTCATTCACGTGGGCGCTGTGGTCTGTGTGTGTGGGGGGGGGGGTTGGGGTTGAGGCATTGGGGCTCATTCACATGGGCGCTTTGGTCTGTGTGTGTGTGGGGGGGGGGGGGGGCTTGAGGCATTGGGGCTCATTCACATGGGTGCTGTGGTCTGTGACTCCGGGGTTTGGCTGAAGCTGTGTGTGTGGGGGGGGGGGGGGGGGGGGGGGGGGGGGGGGGGGGATGGGGTCGAGGCATTGGGGCTCATTCACATGGGTGCTGTGGTCTGTGACTCCGGGGTTTGGCTAAAGCTGTGTGTGTGTGTGTGTGGGGGGGGGGGGGGGTCGAGGCATTGGGGCTCATTCACATGGGCGCTGTGGTCTGTGACTCCGGGGTTTGGCTGAAGCTGTGGGGGGGGGGGGGTCGAGGCCTTGGGGCTCATTCACATGGGCGCTGTGGTGTGTGTGGGTGGGGGGGGGGGGGGTTGGGGTCGAGGCATTGGGGCTCATTCACATGGGCGCTGTGGTCTGTGACTCCGGGGTTTGGCTGAAGCTGTGTGGGGGGGGGGGGGTCGAGGCCTTGGGGCTCATTCACATGGGCGCTGTGGTCTGTGTGTGTGGGGGGGGGTCGAGGCCTTGGGCGCTGTGGTGTGTGTGTGTGGGGGGGGGGGTCGAGGCCTTGGGGCTCATTCACATGGGCGCTGTGGTGTGTGTGTGTGTGTGGTGGGGGGGGGGTCGAGGCCTTGGGCGCTGTGGTCTGTGACTCCGGGGTTTGCTGAAGCTGTGTGCAGGCAGCCTGCGTTACACTTTGGGGCTGCATCAGCTGTATGAAGACAGCCACAGGCTCCTGTCTGACAGGTGTAGGGCCCCTGAATACTGCCAAAATACATTTGGGGCCACTCCCCCACACTGGGACCTGCGGCTGTGTTCATACAATCCCGGCTTCAGTCAGCTGCATGAACAATCCCCTCATCCACATGGCCGGTATCTGGGAACAGGTTGACGGGGGAGGGGGTTGAGGCTGTAAAACCCCATTGATGAGCTGCGCTTTTACTGCCCACCAACTGCTATATCCTCCCTTTAGTAACTGAGGCCGTGGCTAGGGGGTGTACATGTGATGGCCGCAATGCTTCACAACCATGCCAGGTATTATACTCCACCCCTCCCCCATGACCCATCCAAGTGAATGGTGCTGCTCAGCGAGGGCCCCGTTGCCGTTGGTTACCGCACCCTAGTCCAGGATTAAAGCAGGCTGTGAGGAGGCGATATACCTCATCAGCACCTGTCAAATGCTTTATAAAGAGCAATCCAAATACTGACCAGTTACAAGCGTGACTCCCACAGGCAGAGGCATGATGGGACGTGTAGTTTCACAACAGCTGGAGGGCCACCACTTTGACACCCGTGGTAGAGACCTATTAAATGCTAGGCCAGGGGTGTCAAACTGGGGGCCCTCCAGCTGTTGTGAAACTACAAGTCCCATCATTCCTGCCTTTGGGAGTCACGCTTGTAACGGTGAATCTTGCAATGCCTCATGGGACTTGTAGTTCAGCAACAGCTGGAGGGCCGCCAGTTTGACACCCGTGGTCTATAGTGGATGGATGGATGGACGGCTGCAGGCTCTACTACCTTCCTACATGACCCCTCCCTGTATCTTCTGTGTGAATGATATCAAAACAGGAACCAGATTACAGCACCAATGAGCGTTAAAACAAAACTTCCACCGAAGACCAACGGCGCCAACAGAGCCGCCATTTTGACTGCACTGGGTGAATGATTCTCCAGGTCAAAGTTCTGAACACAAGGGAAGAGTGTGGGGGTGGGGGAATAAAGGAGTGCGGACAATTCCTCATGGTGTCGATAGGTGGCGCTCTAACACAACTGTATGGCTACAGCTTGAAGATGGCAGCAGAAAATGCAGCAAAAACCGCCTGTAAACGCGATATTGTGCTTAGCAGTTGGACGTTCATTCATTTCATTGGTCAGAGTTTTGCCACTGAAATGAATACACGCCCACATGGCTAGCGCTTAGGCGCACTTACACACCTGTTTGCCGATTTTGGGCCAAAATGTTCCTCTCTTGAATGCCAGCCTTCTGCACTTAGGAGAGGGACGTTTAACCGCCCTTAATTCTGCTGCCGCTAAAACTCAGCAAAAGCCCACGTCTCCCTCCGTACGTAGGCTTTTACTGAGCCCGCGTCTCCCTCCGTACGTAGGCTTTTACTGAGCCCGCGTCTCCCTCCGTACGTAGGCTTTTACTGAGCCCGCGTCTCCCTCCGTACGTAGGCTTTTACTGAGCCCGCGTCTCCCTCCGTACGTAGGCTTTTACTGAGCCCGCGTCTCCCTCCGTACGTAGGCTTTTACTGAGCCCGCGTCTCCCTCCGTACGTAGGCTTTTACTGAGCCCACGTCTCCCTCCGTACGTAGGCTTTTACTGAGCCCACGTCTCCCTCCGTACGTAGGCTTTTACTGAGCCCACGTCTCCCTCCGTACGTAGGCTTTTACTGAGCCCACGTCTCCCTCCGTACGTAGGCTTTTACTGAGCCCACGTCTCCCTCCGTACGTAGGCTTTTACTGAGCCCACGTCTCCCTCCGTACGTAGGCTTTTACTGAGCCCACGTCTCCCTCCGTACGTAGGCTTTTACTGAGCCCACGTCTCCCTCCAGACGTAGGCTTTTACTGAGCCCACGTCTCCCTCCAGACGTAGGCTTTTACTGAGCCCACGTCTCCCTCCAGACGTAGGCTTTTACTGAGCCCACGTCTCCCTCCAGACGTAGGCTTTTACTGAGTCCACGTCTCCCTCCATACGTAGGCTTTTACTGAGCCCACGTCTCCCTCCATACGTAGGCTTTTACTGAGCCCACGTCTCCCTCCAGACGTAGGCTTTTACTGAGCCCACGTCTCCCTCCATACGTAGGCTTTTACTGAGCCCACGTCTCCCTCCATACGTAGGCTTTTACTGAGTTGGGTTCAGGGGTTTTGGCAAAAAAAAAAAAACACCAAAAGCTCATAAACACACATTTAACAGCAGCAGTGTGCATGAGGTCTAATACCTCATTGTGTCTATAGGTGGAGCTCTAACAACTGCAATACCTCATTGTGTCTATAGGTGGAGCTCTAACAACTAATACCTCATTGTGACTATAGGTGGAGCTCTAACAACTGTAATACCTCATTGTGTCTATAGGTGGAGCTCTAACACAACTAATACCTCATTGTGTCTATAGGTGGAGCTCTAACAACTGTAATACCTCATTGTGTCTATAGGTGGAGCTCTAACAACTGCAATACCTCATTGTGTCTATAGGTGGAGCTCTAGCACAACTGTAATACCTCATTGTGTCTATAGGTGGAGCTCTAGCAACTGCAATACCTCATTGTGACTATAGGTGGAGCTCTAGCACAACTGTAATACCTCATTGTGTCTATAGGTGGAGCTCTAACACAACTGTAATACCTGATTGTGTCTATAGGTGGAGCTCTAACACAACTGTAATACCTCATTGTGTCTATAGGTGGAGCTCTAACACAACTGTAATACCTCATTGTGTCTATAGGTGGAGCTCTAACAACTGTAATACCTCATTGTGTCTATAGGTGGAGCTCTAACACAACTGTAATACCTCATTGTGTCTATAGGTGGAGCTCTAACACAACTGTAATACCTCATTGTGTCTATAGGTGGAGTTCTAACAACTGTAATACCTCATTGTGTCTATAGGTGGAGCTCTAACAACTGCAATACCTCATTGTGTCTATAGGTGGAGCTCTAACAACTGTAATACCTCATTGTGTCTATAGGTGGAGCTCTAACACTTTCTTCAAACTCTAGGGGGGGGGGGGCGGACTGTGGCCAGTGGGAGTAGAAAATGGCCCGGCCTCAGTGGGAGTGAACAATGCTATAGGCTGGGTGGTCAGTGGGAGGGGGAAAAAAAACCCAAAAAACCATTATATCATTGGTGTCATTGGAAGAATTAAATTCCCCATCTCTGGTGTTAATTGGAGGAATAGCACCCCATCGTTGGTGTCGGTGGGAGGAATAGCACCCCGTGGTTGGTGTCGGTGGGGAGGAATAGCGCCCCGTGGTTGGTTTCGGGGGGGAGAATAGCGCCCCATCGTTGTTGTGTCAGTGGAATAGCGCCCCATCGTTGGTGTCAGTGGGAGAAATAGCGCCCCATCGTTGGTGTCAGTGGAATAGCGCCCCATCATTGGTGTCAGTGGGAGGAATAGCGCCCCATCGTTGGTGTCAGTGGGAGGTATAGCGCCCCCATCGTTGGTGTCAGTGGGAGGTATAGCGCCCCATTGTTGGTTTCGGGGGGTGGAATAGCGCCCCATCGTTGGTTTCGGGGGGAGGAATAGCGCCCCATCGTTGGTGTCAGTGGGGGGAATAGCGCCCAATCATTGGTGTCAGAGGAGGAATAGTGCCCCATCATTGGTGTCAGTGGGAGGAATAGTGCCCCATCATTGGTGTCAGTGGGAGGAACAGCGCCCCATCATTGGTGTCAGTGGGAGGAATAGTGCCCCATCATTGGTGTCAGTGGGAGGAATAGTGTCCCATCACTGGTGTCAGTGGGAGGAACAGCGCCCCATCATTGGTGTCAGTGGGAGGAATAGTGCCCCATCATTGGTGTCAGTGGAAGGAATAGCGCCCCATCATTGGTGTCAGTGGGAGGAATAGCGCCCCATCATTGGTGTCAGTGGGAGGAATAGCGCCCCATCATTGGTGTCAGTGGGAGGAATAGTGCCCCATCATTGGTGTCAGTGGAGGAATAGTGCCCCATCATTGGTGTCAGTGGCAGGAATAGTGCCCCATCATTGGTGTCAGTGGGAGGAACAGCGCCCCATCATTGGTGTCAGTGGGAGGAACAGTGCCCCAAGGGCCGGCTAAAGGCAAGCATGGGGTAACATCCGGAATATTTATACCTCTTCTGATCTACAAAACTTTTGCTGTATTTTTTTTGGTAAAAACTACAATAAAGTTATCAATGACTTTTATAAATTAAAATCACATTTAATCAAAATTTCTCTCTCAGTGGCTCAGTATCTGGCATGCGATTGGACAGTTTCAAATCACATGACAAGCTGCTCCCTATAGTCTGTAAATGGTGGTTTCTGCACGACTTTGTGATCTGCGGTGCGACTTGCAGAGATCTACGCCTGAAGTCACAGAGTCCTACAAGTCGCACTGACATGACTATCAAATGAAGTCGATCGATGTCAAAGTCAGACCCGGAGTGAACGAACACAGTGTGGAGCGAGCGAATGACCTGCAGAGCGATGCCAAGCCAACGCCCAGCAGGTGAACGTGGTGACGTCTCCTCTCACTGGTGCGCTGCGCCGGGGTTGGACGGGACAGATATCATCTCCTGACCACAATGTGATATTTCAGCACCACAAACTATGACGTCTGTTGGGCGACTTCTAGCAGAACGACTTGGAATGTAAACACACTCTGAAACTGCAGGCGATAGCAGATCTCTGGTGAGAACGTAAAATCCGATCATCTCCACATTGTATCCAAAGATTCCCCGCCTCCTCCAATCACTCCGGACCAATCCTGAAGGTCGACACAAATTTGTGAAGATCCCACATATTTCCTTCCTGGAATTCGGTACACATGCGAGTAACGTGTCACAGAATTCACAGAGCCCACCCTCTGAGGGGTGGAGCTACAGGAGGCGGAGTCAGTACAGGAATCAGCAAGAGACCATGGGAGATGTAGTCCTTAGAAATGGAGAAGCTGCAGAGCATGCTGGGAATCCAGGAAGTCGTGAAAAGAGACATCCGGCCCTCACAAGCAGAAAGGATATTGGGTTGTTGGGAAGAATGGTGGTTTGTATTTTATGCAATAAAAGCGTATTCTGCGATCAGAGATCCCCTGCAGCCCATTGGCAGAACTTTGGGTCATGTGACTTTCTCAGTAAGTTTCCCCAGAGGGCAATACAAAGAATGCCGGCACATGGCAGAGGGGTCCTTCCGCATAGTTATCCACCAATGACACGATATACAAACCCCGTGCCGTGTGCCGGTGCTCCTCGTACGGTCCGGCGCTCTGCAGGCAGGTGCTTTGGCCACACCCGGGAGCACCGAAGCAGCCCGAGCTTTACGTCGCATAGCGCCTGGATTTTCTCAGCTTCACACGGCACAGACTTTCCAAAACGCCCTGCTTGGCCATTGACCCAACAATAAGGGAGGATATTTTTTTCCATTTTGGAGGAAGGAAGGGTTAGAACCCATCAGATTTATTTTTTTTGCCATCATTGGCTGTGAGACAGGAAGTGAAGGGAAATCTCCCCAAACAGGAAGTGAGAAAATCACCCATTAAGGGAATTCGTTGGGACCCCCTCAGTCACCAGAACTAGTGTCCCCAATGGAAGATTTCATGTTCTGGGGACAACCCAAAATTTGGGATTTTCTTTCGCTTTCAATGATAGCGGTCACCAGGACCAATAGAGAAAGGGAGGGGGGTGTCTCCCTAACGGGGACATAGACAGCAATAAAAACCTGGCAGGGGGTCTAATCCCTCCCCCTCCATCCAACACTAAGGAGATAAAAAAGTTATACTTTAAAGGGGTGGAGCACATAGAACAATGTGGCTCCTCCCACGCCTGCTCTAAAAAAAAATTGTTCTTACAGAGAACTTCCTCTGACGGAATGATGACATCACTTCCCTCAGATGGCGACACCATCTTCATCACCTCCAATGAGGATGAAGGGGAGGAGCAAAGGGGAGGAATAAAGGAGAGGAACTAAGGGGAGGAATGAAAGGGGGGGGGGGGGGGAAGACGAAAGGAGGGGAACAAAGTAACCGTATTAAAAATATGGAGGGAACAGATTTGGGGGAGGGGGGTCCATAACGGCGCTATTTTTCCGCGCAATTTCAAAGTGAATGTAAAATAAAGATGCGTCGGTCAGTTTAAAAGATTATCTAATTTAAAGAAAAACTAAACTCAGCAATTTAATGGTTTAAAAACATTTTTAAAAAATGGATCCATTCCCGACAAGCCAGGAATGCTAACTGCCACAGTTGCTCGTGCTCTGAACCAAACTGTCAAACCATAAAATGGTCGGCCTCACGACTGGTCACACGTACAGCACTCAGGGCTGTGGATGCGGGGATACCACCAGTCCTCCTGTACAGGGTCCAGGCAACTGGGTGAATCAGATGGAGGTAGGGAGGGTGAACAGCATGTGGGGGGGGGGCAATTACTGGAACTGATCCCCTGTACGACCCCCTCTGCAGCGCTGTAAGCCGGCTTTTTCTCCTCTTCCTCCCACTGGCTTTCAGCTGCTGCAGAGGGAGCCGTACAGGGGGATCGGTTCCAGAAATTGTCCCCCCCGCTGCACCCATCACGCTCCCTGTCCATATGTTACCCCCTACTGTTCAGGCTGTGTGCCCCCACCCATACAATGCTGACGGCATACCCCCCCATTCTTTCCTCGGCAGCTGCCAACCCAATAGGATCCTTTAGGATGGAGAGTGGGGAGGGACCCGGGTAAAGAAGTCATATTTAATCAGCCCCTCCCATTCCCGAATGAACACATGGGCGATTGGTACTGATCACTCCCTGTGTTCATTTAAATCTGAAGCATAGTAAACTAGTAGTACTTTTTTTTTTTTTTTTGAGGACCTGTCACGTTGGCTTTATGGGACCTTGTGGGTTTCTAACAGCAGCCCTGACCGCACCATGACAACTGCAGATCAAGATGGCAGCTTCCTTGGCTGCGAAGGACAGGAGGGTTTAGTTCCATTTTAAAAGGTACCCCCGCAGGTTCCGTCCCCCCGACCCATTCACATCAATAAATCTGCAAATCCTGACCTGTATTCTTACCAGGTCACTTCCTAAGCCAATGAGCATCGTGCATTTATTACTTTTCTTGGACAGAATCCTGCAGATCATTGCACCTTGCGATCGGTGCGTCACGGGCGCGATGCGCAGATGTAAGAACCTTGTTACGGGGATGGGGGGAGTACAGCTGGACTGCAGCTTTCTGTGACATCACCCGCGCTGCTGGGCATGGGGGCGGAGCCCAGACCCGGATGAAGCAGCTGTACAGGCAGAGCCATGCGCAACTGCTCCGAATTTCTACAGGAAGGCGAGCCCCCCCCGCTATCCGGGTAAGGAGGGCGGGGTTTCGGGAGGTGGTATGCCCACATGCGTCACGTCACCCTCTATGGGGCGAAAAGGTGGATTTGACCTTTAAGTAGGACACAAATCTGCCCCCCGGCTCTCTGCATTCCCAGGCCCTGGTGTCAGGGGAGAGACATGCTCAGTCCTCCACACGGACAGGTGTCATGCAGGCCCCGGCGTGCCATAGAACTCTGCTGGAAGGGCATGCTGGGATCTGCAGTTCCACACGGCCGGGTTCAGGCTCCACACTGACATTCTGCATTCCAGGACACGGAGCATCAAAACCACAATCAGCGATCACCCTTTACTGCTACGGCTGCTGTAAACCGACAGTTACAAATCTGCTCCGGGTCACGGCCGGATCCGAATAGGACAGACACTCCATAAACGGGTCAGCACCGAATACAACGGACAGCTTGACCTGCACCATGCGAATGACCAGCCTCCGAATCCGGACACACAAAAGCTGATTGGAAGGCGTGCCGTCTGTGCCCCGCCCCTACAACCGACGGCAAAGAGGAGGCGTGGCTTATTTTCTAATTCTTCTACATTTGTATGAACAGTAATTTCCCCTTGGGGGTGTGGGGGGCTGTGTGTATGGGGGGGGGGGGGGGGCGCTATGTATATTGGGGGGGGGGTTTGCCCCCGCAGGTCACAATATGGAGTGCAAAATGACCAGCCTCTGAATCCTGACACCCAATAGCTGATTGGAAGGCATGCCGTCTGTGCCCCACCCGTAAAACTGACGGCAAAGAGGAGGCGTGGCTTATTTTCTAATTCTACATTTGTATGAACAGTAATTTCCCCTTGGGGGTGTGGGGGGCTGTGTGTATGGGGGGGAGGGGCTATGTGTATGGGTGGGGGCTATGTATATTGGGGGGGTTAGCCCCCGCAGGTCACAATATGGAGTGCAAAATGACCAGCCTCTGAATCCTGACACCCAATAGCTGATTGGAAGGCGTGCTCTCTGTGCCCCACCCGTACAACTGACGGCAAAGAGGAGGCGCAGCTTATTTTTCAAATTCTTCCGTGTGTATGTGAACAGTAATTTCCCATTTGGGGTGTGGGGGGCTGTGTGTATGGGGGGGGAGGGGCTGTGTGTATGGGGGGGTGTTTTGCCCCCACAGGTCACGATATGGAGTGCAAAATGACCAGCCTCCAAATCCGGATACCAAAAGCTGATTGGAAGGCGTGCGCTCTGTGCCCCGCCCCTACAACCGACGGCAGAGGAGGCGCGGCTTATTTTTTCAAATTCTACCACATGTATGAACAGTAATTTCCCCTTGGGGGTGTAGGGGGCTGTGTGTATAGGGGGAGGGGGGCCATGTGTATAGGGGGAGGGGGGCCGTGTGTATAGGGGGAGGGGGGGCCATGTGTATAGGGGGGGAGGGGGGGCCATGTGTATGGGGGGGGCCCACAGGTCATGATATGGAGTCACTTTAGACGCAATTAGTGCTTAGCGTTGTTCTTTCATTTATTGTTCTCATTTGCAGCGGGTGCGGGGGATGGGCTGGGGACATCGGCGGGGGATGGGCTGGGGACATCGGCGGGGGATGGGCTGGGGACAGCGGCAGGATTATCAAGTGCAGAAACCTACCCGAGAACCGGAGACTGTGCTCACATGACTAAAAGCTGGAAGCTGAGTGGCTGCGATGGGTGGCCTGGGGGCGTGCGGTGTCACAGGAGCTCTGTCCAAGGTCAGCCTTTAGTGGACACGCCCTCCCTCATGTCAACCAATCACCATGGAGGCTGGATGCAGGATGGGAGCTTTGCAGCAAAATGGCTGAATGTTTGCATAACCCAACGATAAAGTGCAAACCCTGGTAAGTGGCCCAAATTCTGCCATGACTGGACTTCCCCAGAAGGCAGAACGGGGGAGGGGAGAGGTCCCCATGCTGAAGTATCCTTTTCTATGTTACTGTCGAATGAAGCGATTCAAGAACCTGCAGGAGGCAGTAGAGTTCCCCCCCCCCACATGGTCACATTTTTACCACCCCCTGCATGATGCGACAGCTGGACACGGAGTCACACAGGGGGTCTCTGCCGTCTGCATCCTCTACCGGCAACAGCGAGAGACCCCCAAACCTGGCCGGGGGGCTGAGCGAAGACTCGGACACATTCTCGTTTACTGCGTCCTCTATTTCCATGGCCTCGGTGTTGGGGACCCCCCCCTGCAAGGTGCCGTCTTCAGGGAGGCGGTACGGGGGATTCTGGGTGGGGGTTCCGTTGCTGACCAGCAGCTGGTTGCAGTTGTCCTCTCCGTCCGTTTTGGTGGAAGAACATCGGTTGTCGTCTAAGGCGCCCGAGCCGTCTGTGCAGTCCATGTCTTCCACGTTTGTTTGGACGCGGTCCGGGGCCGGACATCGGGGTCTGTAAGGGGGGATTTCCGATACACCATATTTGGCATTACAGAGTCTGACCCTCACCTCCCCGCTGACCTGCGCGGGGTCACATTTCCCCACGGTGGGGGAGAGGGACGCAGATGGGGGATAGCCTCTTCTTATGAGATCAGGGGATACCGGAAGCGATCGGCAGCGTCTCCTGGGGACATACGAGCAATCCACAGTGTCCTGGCTGAAGAGCTGCCGCACCGCTCCGGTCCCCGCTTCACCGTCCATCTTGGGCGAGTACAAGTCGAACACATGAGAGATGACCGACTTGCTGGGCATATCGAAGAATTTGATCTTCCCGCCTTTCAAGTCCTCCCTGGCATTAAAGGGGTTAACCTTGCGCATGGCACCCTTCCGGGGGGTGTAGAAGGGGTCCTGGACGTTGATCTTCCGCTTAGGTTTCTGGGCGAAGACGTCGGATTGGCTCCGGCACAGAGTGATACTCCTGCGGGGTCGTGGAGACTTTTGGGGGATCTTGTCATCTGGTGACAACGCAATCAGACGCTTCACCCCCAGACTCTTATCAGAGGGACCTGAAAAAGGAACAAAGTGAGTCAGAAGGGAAGGAAAGGTCCTGAAATATCTAACACTTTAGCCTCCCTAAGGGGATTTCCTGTGTTCCCCACTACATGCCACGCCTTCTTCCTCCAAGAGCAGAGATGTCATTCACAAAAACACAAGCTGACAACACAGCAGCAGCTACTACATTCCCCTGAGAGAGACTAGGGTAGTAGTTGCTGGAGGGTGCGGCTGTTGGTTTGTGTTTTTGTGAAGGATGGTGCTGTAGGAGGTTGGGGGCTCAGAAACAGAGCGGAGGAGGCACTGACTACACAGCAAGGAGGGCTGTAAATGTTCTCTCTGCAGCATTTAGAGGAGGCAGGGACTGTGTGGGCTCTGTGAGGTCTGAGTCACAAGTCTGTCTCCTTGGTCCAGCATTGTAGGAGAGGAGCGGACATTGGGTGGGGCTAGCTATCCAACAATGCTGCTTAGGGACCACACGTGTCTCCTTTGTCCAGTCTTGTCAGATAGTGGTGGACAGTGGGAGGGGCTATCCAACAACGCTGCTTTGGGACCACATGTCTGTCTTTGTCCAGTCTTGTCAAATAGCAGTGGACATTGGGAGGAACTAGCTTTTTGAGAATGCTGCTTAGAAACCACATGGCTATCTCTTTTCTCCAGTGTTGACTGATAGCAGTGAACAGTGGGAGAAGCTAGCTGACAACGCTGCAAAGAAACCAAATGCCTGTCTCCTTTGTCCAGTCTTATCGAATAGCATTGGACACTGGGTGGAGCTAGCTATCCACTAGCGCTGCTTAGGAACCACAAGCCTGTTTCCTTTGTCCAGTGTTGTCAGATAGTGGTGGACAGTGGGAGGGGCTAGCTATCCAACAACGCTGCATAGAAACCACATGTCTGTCTCCTTTGTCCAGTGTTGTTAGATCAGTGTTTCTCAACTCCAGTCCTCATGGACCCCCAACAGGTCATGTTTTTCAGGATTTCCCTCAGATGAAACAGCTGTGGTAATTACTAAGGCAGTGAAACTGATCAAATCACCTGTGCAAAATAATGGAAATCCTGAAAACATGACCTGTTGGGGGTCCATGAGGACTGGAGTTGAGAAACACTGTGTTAGATAGTGGTAGACATTAGGAGGGGCTAGCTATCCAACAACGCTGCTTAGGAACCACACGCCTGTTTCCTTTGTCCAGTCTTCTCAGATAGCAATGGACAGTGGGAGGAGCTAGCTATTCGACAATGCTGCTTAGAAACCACATGCCTGTCTCCTTTGTCCAGTCTTCTCAAATAGCATTGCGGTTACCTATCCAACAATGCTGCTTAGAAACCAGGTGTCCGTTTCCTTTGTCCAGTGTTGTCGGATAGCAGTGGACAGTGGGAGGAGCCAGCTATTTGACAACACTGCATAGAAACCACATGTCTGTTTCCTTTGTCCAGTGTTGTCAGATAGTGGTGGACATTGAGTGGGGCTAGCTATTTGACAATGCTGCTTAGAAATCACATGCCTGTCTCCTTTGTCCAGTGTTGTCAGACAGCAGTGGACAGTAGGTGGGGCTAAACGAGAATGCTGCTTAGAAACCATAGCACCAATTTTCACAGGAACAAGTGCAAAAAGTGGAAGTCTGGGATAAAACAAAGCTTAAAACAACCCCTTTCTAACACCTATACTAACTACCCTGTAGAAGGAAGATGCTTGTACTTACCTATTCTCCGGTGCTCGGGTCTGGTCATGTGATTGGCTCCCAGAGGCCGGCTTCAGGGGAGAGCTGACAACGGATGCTCTATAGTAAGTCTATGGGTGGCATCACCACCTAGGAATTCCAGCCGTTGTCAACGTTCTCTCCTCTCTCCACAAGCCTGCCATGGAGTTAGAGCACCTGTTCAAAGTGAAAGAAATCCTGAAAACATGACCTGTTGAGGAGAGCTGAGTTTGGAAACCCCCATTTTACAGGCTCGATAATATAGGTGTTAGAAGAGGGGTGGGATCTGTGTTAGGTATAGTTACTTCTTTACCTCTAGATGTCTGCAGAAGAATAAACCCACCTTTGGGAAGAGGTTTTGTTTCGGTGATTTCCGGGTTGTTCGCTCTTCGCTCATTTTCGGCCTCTTCACTTTTTAGACGACTCAAGATCTCCTCCAGCTGCTTCACGATGTCCACAAAGGAAGGCCGGAGCTTCGGATCCATCTGAGGAGGAGACACAAAGTACTGTATGATCTCTTCCCAGCATTTTCCCCGCTGATAGTCTGACAGTCATGACACCCCAATCACTGGCAGGACAACGCCGGGACAGACCAGGTCTCCCATGATATGCCATTCTGATTTATAGACCTCAAAAAAAAGAAAGCGGCGTCTCCCTCCTTGCTGTGTCACACCACCCCACCCACAACCTGCTGATTGGACAATGATGGAGAAAAGAAAATACAACTGTCCTCCCTCCTCCTGTAAGCATATGTGCACGTGGTGGAGTGGGATTGGCTCCCAGCGTTCCCTCTCTGTGCTGCTGTGCAGAGGGCCACCAAAGGCTGTGAACGCATTTAGTTGTCTATATGGCTGTAGGTATTCTTTAACCGCCTCCCACCCGCCATATAAGTAGATTCTCTCGTTCTGGGAGGATGTCATGTGACGTCCTCCCACTCTGACCGCGCATGCGTGCCCCCGGGGACGCGCAGCACTGCGATCGGTGGTGCACTGTGTGCTTGGGACACAGCGGATCGCTGATCAACAAAAAGAGCCAAAGATGTGGGCTCTGTCATGTGAACAGCTGTGTCCAATCAGGAAATGCCGGTTATCTGCATTTCTCTCCTCACGAGCTGTCACGCTGACAGAGGAGAGCCGGTAATCGGCATTACTCAGAGGGGACTTCTACACTGATCAGGGCACTGATGATCAGTGTAGCCCCAGCAGTGCCACCTCTCAGTGTCCATCAATGCCACATCAGTGCCTACCAGTGCACATCAATGCCACATATCAGTGCCCATCTGAGCTGCCTTTCAGTGCCACCTATCAGTGCCAGTCAGTGCCATATATTAGTGCTGCCTTTCAGTGCCCATCAGTGATTCCTGTCAATGCCCATCAGTGCCTCCTCACCAGTGCCAGTGCCGCCTATCAGTGACCATCAGTGCAGCCTCATTAGTGAACATCAGTGGAGAAAAATCTCTTATTTACAAAATTTTATAACAGAAACTAAGAAAAAACTTTTTTTTTCTAAAAATTTTCAGTTGTTTTTGGTTTGCTTAGCAAAAAATAAAAAACCCCGAGGTGATTAAATACCACCAAAAGAAAGCTCTGTCTCAAAAAAAATTATAAAAATTTCATATGGGTGCAGTGTTGAATTGTCATTCAAAGTGTGACAGCGCTGAAAGCTGAACATTGGCCTGGGCAGGAAGGGGGTGACAGGGCCCGGTAGGCAGGAAGGGGGTGACAGGGCCCGGTAGGCAGGAAGGGGGTGACAGGGCCCGGTAGGCAGGAAGGGGGTAGAAGCGCCCGGTAGGCAGGAAGGGGGTAGAAGCGCCCGGTAGGCAGGAAGGGGGTAGAAGCGCCCGGTAGGCAGGAAGGGGGTAGAAGCGCCCTGTAGGCAGGAAGGGGGTAGAAGCGCCCGGTAGGCAGGAAGGGGGTAGAAGCGCCCGGTAGGTAGGAAGGGGGTGACAGGGCCCGGTAGGCGAGGGGTTAAAAAAAAACGTGTTGTGACACACAGCCCCGGTCAGTTGTGGATGGAGTACATCTGCCACATAGAATTTTGAGGTTCATAAGGTAAATGGGTGGCAGTGGGAGGTCTGTAGAGGAGATGGGGGTCAGGCCACACCTTGCTTCCCACCGGGGTATAACTTGTCTTCTCCGGGGTAATCAGTGTTGGTGCAGAGAAAGGAGACAAGCAGGCTGTGAGGTAACACGGGACCCCTGCGGTGTATTTACAGGCCAGGAGGACTGTCTTACGCTGGATGTTTGCTTTATTTTTGCCTTTTGTGGGCTGGAAGCCCTTAACCCTACATGTGTCCTGGTTGGCCTCTCTGTGAGCTCCACAGCTGAAGCCCACAGTGTATATAAAGCCTATGCTTTAAACCCCTCGCCCACCAGGCACTGTCACCCCCTTCCTGCCCACGGGCACTTCTACCCCCTCCCTGCCCACCGGGCACTGTCACCCCCTTCCTGCCCACCGGGCACTTCTACCCCCTTCCTGCCCACCGGGCACTTCTACCCCCTTCCTGCCCACCGGGCACTTCTACCCCCTCTCTGCCCACCGGGCACTGTCACCTCCTTCCTGCCCACCGGGCACTTCTACCCCCTTCCTGCCCACCGGGCACTTCTACCCCCTTCCTGCCCACCGGGCACTTCTACCCCCTCTCTGCCCACCGGGCACTGTCACCTCCTTCCTGCCCACCGGGCACTTCTACCCCCTTCCTGCCCACCGGGCACCGTCACCTCCTTCCTGCCCACCGGGCACTTCTACCCCCTTCCTGCCCACTGGGCACCGTCACCCCCTTCCTGCCCACCGGGCACTTCTACCCCCTTCCTGCCCACCGGGCACCGTCACCTCCTTCCTGACCACCGGGCACTTCTACCCCCTTCCTGCCCACCGGGCACCGTCACCCCCTTCCTGCCCACCGGGCACTTCTACCCCCTTCCTGCCCACCGGGCACTTCTACCCCCTTCCTGCCTACAGGGCACTTCTACCCCCCTTCCTGCCCACCGGGCACTTCTACCCCCCCTTCCTGCCCACCGGGCACCGTCACCCCCTCCCTGCCCACCGGGCACCGTCACCCCCCTCCCTGCCCACCGGGCACCGTCACCCCCTTCCTGCCCAGGCCAATGTTCAGCTTTCAGTGCTATCGCACTTTGAATAACAATTGCGCGGGTCATGCAACACTGTACCCATATGACATTTTTCATCTTTTTTCACACAAATAGAGCTTTCTTTTGGTGGTATTTAATCACCGCTGGGGGTTTTATTTTTTCGCTATAAACAAAAAAGCAAAAAATTTGGGAAAAAAAATTTTTTTTTCTTTGTTCCTATTATACAATTTTGCAAACAGGTAATTTTTCTCCTACACTGATGTGTGTGGATGAGGCTGCACTGATAGGCGGCACTGATGATGCAGCAATGATGGGCACTGATAGGCGGCACTGATGATGCAGCAATGATGGGCACTGATAGGCGGCACTGATGATGCAGCAATGATGGGCACTGATAGGCGGCACTGATGATGCAGCAGCAATGATGGGCACTGATAGGCGGCACTGATGATGCAGCAATGATGGGCACTGATAGGCGGCACTGATGATGCAGCAATGATGGGCACTGATGGGCGGCATTGATGATGCAGCAATGATGGGCACTGATGGGCGGCACTGATGATGCAGCAATGATGGGCACTGATAGGCGGCACGGATGATGCAGCAATGATGGGCACTGATAGGCGGCACTGATGATGCAGCAATGATGGGCACTGATAGGCGGCACTGATGATGCAGCAATGATGGGCACTGATGATGCAGCAATGATGATGCAGCAATGATGGGCACTGATAGGCGGCACTGATGATGCAGCAATGATGGGCACTGATAGGCGGCACTGATGATGCAGCAATGATGGGCACTGATAGGCGGCACTGATGATGCAGCAATGATGGGCACCGATAGGCGGCACTGATGATGCAGCAATGATGGGCACTGATAGGCGGCACTGATGATGCAGCAATGATGGGCACTGATGGGCGGCACTGATGATGCAGCAATGATGGGCACTGATGGGTAGCACTGCTGGGCACAGATCATCAGGGCACCGATGATCATTGCTGATCTGTTTTCTGACAATTGCCGGTTATCGGCAGTACTTTCCTGACACTGGCACAGCATGAAGAAAGTGCAGCCGATAACCAGCAACTGCATTTACCTGGTGATCTGCTATCATTGGACACAGCTGATCACATGGTAATTGATTGGCCTTTTATCAAATCACATGATCAGCTGTGTCCGTAGGACACACCAATCACGGAGATCGCCGGGGGCGTGCAGGAGGGTGCATTCTGGGAAGTCGTCATATGACGCCCTCCTAGAACTGGACAACCGCGCTGTAGCTGTCATTTGACTATAACACGGTTGCCAAGTGGCTGTAAACCTCAGGCATGAAAAATGAACAAAGCATCTCCCTCTACTGGTCTACGTCCAGAGCACTGAGTGTAATTTCTGTCTGCTGCCTCCTTCCTCTGCTATCAGCATGAGTCACTTCTGCCAAGTTTTCCTGACACCAAGAGATAAATGGTGACAGGGGAGGGAGCTCCAGCACACAGCCTGTGATTGATGTGTGTGTGCTCTCCTCAGTGAGCTTGGCAGTGTGTAATCTCAACTCTGACTGTTCAAGCTGTATAAATCCTTCACTTTAAATGGTTGTAGAGAAGAGAAAGCTGCAGATAAACAGGTACAACTTCTGTGGTAAGATTTATTTCATCTCTGTATCACCTGAGGCCAGTCACTGCACTGGGGATATGGAAGGGTTTGCAACCACTTTAAGTTTTAGAGTGTGGAAGTAGCGATTCCAATGTTGGCTTTTTGCTGCGGTTTGGCTGAACTTGCACTTTATTACACAATTACATCAAAGTGGATCTAAAGGCTGAAGGTTTTTTTAGAATGCATGACGGTAAATAACCTTCTGTGTGCTGCTCCCCAAATCCTCACCCAAGCCAGATCTTGATCCAGCAATGTGCACGGGAGCAGCGGCTGTCTTGGGTCTCTCTCCCTCCTCATTGGCTGAGACAAAGCAGCGGAAGCCATTGGTTCCTACTGCTGTCATATCCATGCATGTAATCCAGCATTTCTGGGTATAGGGCAGTTGTTGCAGAGTGAAGGGCAGCGTGGTGTCCCCAGAGGACCGCTGACAGGTGTACCGGTTGGGTCAGAGATGTTCTCCCTTCTACAACGCATTTCACCCCAGGAGAGGCTTAGTCATGGAAGACGAAACGCATTGCAGGAGGAGCTGCTGGTGGGCAGTGTTTGTGATGCACAGATCCCTATGGAATAAAGTTTATTGAAAAAGAAGATGTGGCCAAAGTGCACTTGTTTTATTTTCTGGAAAGGAAGGGACACTTTTGTGATAATAGCAGAAATTGGGGGGGGCATACTCACATTGCAACAGTTGAAGGCGAGCTGGAGGAAGTCGGGGGGACAATCACCCACCATGTGCTGGAAACCATCATAGTCCAAACCGAAGTTCTGGAGGCAAAGGATGAAAATATGATGAGAAATATAACAGGCATAGCAGGGAATGTGATTAGAAATCCTCTTCCCGACCCCCAATGTAAGGGACATTCTTCCCACCGACCGCCAATGTAAGGGACATTCTTCCCACCGACCCCCAATGTAAGGGACATTCTTCCCACCGACCCCCAATGTAAGGGACATTCTTCCCACCGACCTCCAATGTAAGGGACATTCTTCCCACCGACCACCAATGTAAGGGACATTCCTCCCACTGACCCCCAATGTAAGGGACATTCTTCCCACTGACCCTCAATGTAAGGGACATTCTTCCCACTGACCCCCAATGTAAGGGACATTCCTCCCACTGACCCCCAATGTAAGGGACATTCCTCCCACCGACGCCCAATGTAAGGGACATTCTTCTTCCCACCGACGCCCAATGTAAGGGACATTCTTCCCACCGACGCCCAATGTAAGGGACATTCTTCCCACTGACCCCCAATGTAAGGGACATTCTTCCCCCTGATCACCAATGTAAGGGACATTCTTCCCACTGACCCCCAATGTAAGGGACATTCCTCCCACCGACGCCCAATGTAAGGGACATTCTTCCCACCGACCCCCAATGTAAGGGACATTCTTCCCACCGACCCCCAATGTAAGGGACATTCTTCCCACCGACCCCCAATGTAAGGGACATTCTTCCCACCGACCCCCAATGTAAGGGACATTCTTCCCACCGACCGCCAATGTAAGGGACATTCTTCCCACCGACCGCCAATGTAAGGGACATTCTTCCCACCGACCCCCAATGTAAGGGACATTCTTCCCACCGACCCCCAATGTAAGGGACATTCTTCCCACCGACCGCCAATGTAAGGGACATTCTTCCCACCGACCGCCAATGTAAGGGACATTCTTCCCACTGACCCCCAATGTAAGGGACATTCTTCCCACTGACCACCAATGTAAGGGACATTCTTCCCACTGACCCCCAATGTAAGGGACATTCTTCCCACTGACCCCCAATGTAAGGGACATTCTTCCCACTGACCCCCAATGTAAGGGACATTCTTCCCACTGACCACCAATGTAAGGGACATTCTTCCCACTGACCCCCAATGTAAGGGACATTCTTCCCACTGACCACCAATGTAAGGGACATTCTTCCCACTGACCCCCAATGTAAGGGACATTCTTCCCACCGACCGCCAATGTAAGGGACATTCTTCCCACTGACCACCAATGTAAGGGACATTCTTCCCACTGACCCCCAATGTAAGGGACATTCTTCCCACTGACCACCAATATAAGGGACATTCTTCCCACTGATCCCCAATGTAAGGGACATTCTTCCCACTGACCCCCAATGTAAGGAGCATTCTTCCCACCAACCATCACATGAACGTATCATGAGTTGGAGACGTAGTTGTTTTTAGCACGGGTTCCCCGAGACCGGAAAGTTATTTCACGGGTTCCTTTGTGTTGAATGGATTGAGAAAGGCCGGTCTACTGTGTGGAGATCTACATAAAAATGGTCTGTTAGCGGGAACAGTTGTCCCGGGATAGAGATGGGGGCTTCAACATCTCCACCAAATAGTAGCATCCCTGTCTTGGAACCCCAGTATCATCGGTTAGAATCCCAATCATAACACCACCTGCCTGGAGTTTGCATGTTCTCCCTGTGCCTGTGTGGGTTTCCTCCAGGTGATCCTGTTTCCTCCCACACTACAAATGCTGGTGGCTGCAGTTTAAACTGGCCCTAGTATGTGTATATATGGGTGTGTGTTAGGGACCTTAGATTGTACGCCCCTTGGGGGCGGGGACTGATGTGGATGCGTAAATTGTCAGCTCTATATAAATGCCTGTAATAAATCAATGTTCACACCTTCGGATGATTAATATCTTTGCCCACTGACACCATGGAAGGGATTATGTAACTAGAATAAGGCGGTTCCACAATTTTCACACCTACCATCTTCTTCTTCTTCTTGGACAATCAGGTCTGACTCACATTTCACAGTAATTGAATTAACCACTCGCTGCCCAGACCAAGTCTGACATTTATTACATACATTTACAGAAAAAAAAATCTGCTATTTTTTTGGGGCTAGAAAAGTATTTACAACCCACACACACACTACGCTCAAAAAAAATGGAAGGAAGACTCTGAGAACCCATCAGATCTCAATGGGGAGGAATCTCCTGCTGGATCTCTATACTGACATGGACGGGGGATGGGTGAGGAACGCAAGGACGCCCCATCATTGGATGGAAATGATCGCCCTACAGAGGACTGAATTCACAGACACCCCGAAAATCAAAGTGAAGAAATGATGCAGCAGGAGAGTCCATGTTGGTGAAATGTCATTGTAGCAACTCAGAATGGTCCTCAATAGTCTGTGTGGCCCCCACGTGCTTGTATGCATGCCTGACAACGTCGGGGGAGGGTCCTAATGAGACCACGGATGGTGTCCTGGGGGATTTCCTCCCAGATCAAGACCAGGACATCACTGAGCTCCTGGACAGTCTGAGGTGCAACCTGGTGGCGTCAGATGGACCGAAACATGACATCCCAGAGGGGTTCTATTGGATTTAGGTCAGGTGAGCGTGGGGGCCAGTCAATGGTATCAATTCCTTCATCCTCCAGGAACTGCCTGCATACTCTCCCCACATGAGGCTGGGCATTGTCGTGCACCCGGAGGAACCCAGGACCCGCTGCACCCGGAGGAACCCAGGACCCGCTGCACCAGGAGGAACCCAGGACCCGCTGCACCAGGAGGAACCCAGGACCCGCTGCACCAGGAGGAACCCAGGATCCACTGCACCAGCGTAGGGTCTGAAAATGGGTCCAAGGATTTCATCCCCATACCCAATGGCAGTCAGGGTGCCATTGACTAGCCTGTAGAGGTCTGGGCGTCCCTCCATGGAGATGCCTCCCCAGACCATCACTGACCCACCACCACAAAGGTCATGCTGAACCATGTTACAGGCAGAACGTTCGCCACGGCTTCTCCAGACCCTTTTCACGTCTGTCACATGTGCTAAGGGGGAACCTGCTCTCATCTGTGAAAAGCACAGGGCGCCAGTGGTGGACCTACCAATTCTGGGGTTCAATGGCCAATGCAGCTCTATGGTGCCGGGCAGTGAGCACAGGGGCCCACTAGAGGACGTCAAGCCCTCAGGCCACCCTCATGAAGTCTGTTTCTGATTGTTTGGTCAGAGACATTCACACCAGTGGCCTGCTGGAGGTCATTATGTAGAGCTCTGGCAGGGCTCATCCTGTTCCTCCTTGTACAAAGGAGCAGATACGGGTCCTGCTGATGGGTTAAGGACCTTCTACGGCCCTGTCCAGCCCTCCTAGAGGAACTGCCTGTCTCCTGGAACCTCCTCCGTGCTCTCGTCTCCTGGAACCTCCTCCGTGCTCTCTCGTCTCCTGGAACCTCCTCCGTGCTCTCGTCTCCTGGAACCTCCTCCGTGCTCTCGTCTCCTGGAACCTCCTCCATGCTCTCGTCTCCTGGAACCTCCTCCATGCTCTCGTCTCCTGGAACCTCCTCCATGCTCTTGAGACTGTGCTGGGAGACACAGCAAACCTTCTGGCAATGGCACGTATTGATGGACCATCCTGGAGGAGTTGGACTGCCTGTGCACCCTCTGTAGGGTCCAGGTATGGCCTCATGCTACCAGTAGTGACACTGACCGTAGCCAAATGCAAAACGAGTGAAAGACAGTCAGAAAAGAGTGCCATTTTTAAAACGCAAATCTTTTAGGACAATACACTCTAATTTTGGTGCACACAAATATAATATAACTGGATATAACATTTATAGGGAAAGTTGATCCCGGGAATATCCGAGCACGTTAAAAAAAAAAAATTATACATTTCTTTTTTTTTTAAACTTTACCTGTTATTTTTTATCAACTGTATTGCTATCACAAGGGAAGAACATGATAGCATGGGCCATGACAGGTCCTCTTTATGGAGAGATCCCAGAGCCTAGACCTCTTATCTGCCCTCCATAAGAGTCGATCAAACCCTACAAATCCTTTGACAGGTGAACCACCTCCATTATCGCAGAGGAATGCCTATAGGTTGCTCTCTCACTGGTACATGACCCTGATGTGGATAGTAAAGTTCGTTCAATTGGCGTCTCCCTTTTGTTTTCTTGGACGACGGGAACCAGGCACTTTTTTTTCATATTTGGTGGTTGTGCCTGAAATGCTTTGTGTTTCTGGACTTTACTGGTGTTTCTTTAGTGTGTAACCCCAGGGAAGCTCTGCTCTATATGCCAATCCCTTCCATGACTTTAGCCCAAAGGAAGCTGGTGGGGATTGTTTTTCTGGCAACCCGGCATACTCTTGCAATCGCTTGTGGCCAACCGTTCCTTAGCTTCACTGAGGTCAACACATGGGATAATGGGAACCATGACCCAAGGAAAGCTCACCTCAATACTGACTGACTCCCATGCAAAATTCTTGAAAATGTCGGACCCTTGGATATCCTATAATGACCATCACAACCTGGACCGCTGCTTGCTCTCCATTTGATGAATTGGAAAGCCCACTTCCATGAAGCGTCCTAAGCCTTCCTCCCTTTCTTGGTACATCCTCACTTCCTGTCCCCCCCCCCCCTACCTTTCTTGGTATATCCTCACTTCCTGTCCCCCCCTACCTTTCTTGGTATATCCTCACTTCCTGTCCCCCCCCTCCCTTTCTGGGTATATCCTCACTTCCTGTCCCCCCTCCCTTTCTTGGTATATCCTCACTTCCTGTCCCCCCCCCTCCCTTTCTTGGTATATCCTCACTTCCTGTCCCCCCCTACCTTTCTTGGTATATCCTCACTTCCTGTCCCCCCCCCTCCCTTTCTGGGTATATCCTCACTTCCTGTCCCCCCTCCCTTTCTTGGTATATCCTCACTTCCTGTCCCCCCCTCCCTTTCTTGGTATATCCTCACTTCCTGTCCCCCCCTCCCTTTCTTGGTATATCCTCACTTCCTATCCCCCCCCCCCCCC